CTTGATGTCTTTGAGCACCTCAGCGTCTAGTCCACAAAGTCGCTGACCACTCCGAACAGCAGGGCATGGCCGGTGGAGACGGTGAAGAGGCACGACAGGTCGACGTACGGCAGGGCCGCAAAGGCAGTCAGGCCCTTGCACCCAGTCTGGAGCGCCGCCTCATCGAACTGCTTCTGCGTGATCTTGTGTGGAGTCCCAAGGTGGAGCATCCTGTACATCGCCTGCATGACACTGCCCGCGCTGACGAAATGCCAATGGGTCTTCTTGAGAGCCCGGGCGCCGACCTTCAGGCTCTTGCCTGCATTCCGCTTTACGAAGTGCTGGCTGACTGCTTGGGTGTAGCCACGGAAGCGCACGGTGGCCCCGCGCCCGACATTGGCCTCCGTGTGTGCCTCGAATAGGCACCACATGCAGCTGCCGACATGACTGTTCTGGTCTCGTAGCTGCTGGTGGGCCGGTTCTGTCGGTGGGAATGGCTGGAATAAAAGCCTGCCGCGGTCCAGGTGTTGGACGGGCGGCTCATGACTGCCATTTCAGGGGCTGGGGACAGCAGGGTGCGGAGCTTGGTATGGAAGAGGACACCTAAGTGTAAGCTCCAAGACCCTCTTATCCTGTTTCCTGCCCCACCGGTTATTATTCGGTTTATAGGAGACCCAAGCCCAGAGGCCTATGCTAACCAGGTCGACTGAGAGCACACAGGGAACGGCAAGGGACGATGACAGGAAACCTGACGTGGGTTACCCGGCAGACACTCAGGATGGCGACGGAAGGGATCCGACCGAGTTGCTGTCGTTGGAAGATGACCCTTGCGAAGACGACCAGTGGGTGAGTCACCAGCCGACAGGGCGGAAATCCAGCGGCGTAGGACTAGCACCAGCCTGGGAAGTGAGTGCCCGCAACGCTGGGGGCAGGGAGGCACTCCAGCTGCTACAGGAAGCCTGGCAGAGGTTGCAGCGGCTGGGGCAACAGGACGCGGTAGATCCGCGGGATAAACAGGAGTTTCTCGAAGAGGTCGTCTGTTTGCTCCCAGATCCTGAAGACTTCCAACCAGGAAGGATACGTCTACATGTTGCAGTGTGGCGAGTGTTCTTTCAGGCAGCTAACGAAGGCCGGCCCCTCACGGACAAACAGAAACGGTGGCTGGGATACCTGCAGGGCGGAATTCAGCTGGAGTGGGTGCCGTGCGACTACCCAGGGCAAGAACTAGCCCCGGAGCGGGGATGCAAGCTAGCTATAGTGCGGGAAATGCTGTGGGTCGCGGCGCCAGATTGCGACCTAGACTTTATCATGGCGGGTGACCGGCCGCGAGCCGTGCAGTTTCCTAACATCGCAGCGCGACTCAGCACAGTGAGTTTGTTACAGCCGAATTGAGAAAGGCCCTTGACCGAGGGGTGATACGGAATGGCCAGCAGACGCGCCCCCCCCCACGGTTATCAATGGCTTGCGGGTAGTGGAAAAAGATGGCAAGCTGCTCTGTATTAATCCGATGTACATTAACTGTTTCTTGAAGTACCGGCCTGTGAAGTACGAACGACTGGCAGATGTACCTAGCTACCTCCTACCGGAAGATTGGCTGTACACCACGGACCACAAGAGCGGGTACTGGCAGCTATCACTCCACGAACGGGAGCACACATATCTGGCTATGCGGTGGCGGGGGCAGACGCTTTTTTGGCCACACCTGCCGTTCGGCCTGGCGCCGGCCTGCCACTTGTACACAAGCATGAAGCTCGAGGTTTTCCAGCCTTTATGGCAGCTAGGGGTCCGCATGTCTTTCCTGATAGACGACCAGATGGGTGCCGCGGGTCGAAGGCCGCGGCACAGTACGAGTGTGGGGCGGTGGTACGGCTGCTGGCAGCCCTAGGCTTCACCCTCAGGCTGTCCAAGTGCCAGCTGATCCCAAGAAGGCGAGTCTGTTTCTTGGGGATGGAGGTGGATGCGGAGGCGCAAGCATTCAGAGTACCAGACGACAAGCTAGCTAGATTCCGTACGCTGCTCACACAGCTCGAAGGCAAACGGCTAACAGCGCGGCAGGTGGCGCAGGTGGCCGGCAAAATCATCGCCATGACGCCCGCCGTCACCACGGCACCCCTGTATGCGTGGATGGTGTGGCATGTAGCCCGGGGCGTGGCGTGGGACGAAGAGGTTTGGGACCCGGCAGAGGTGCTACACCAGGCAGGCTTGTTTATGGAGCTGCTGGGCAGGCGCAACGGGACAGCCACCTGGCGGAAAGGACCAGCCCTATGACTGACGACGGAACTAGTCGGGGACGCCTCAGACAGGGCCTTAGCAGCCTTCTTACCTGGAGAAGAACTGGGCGCCAACAGCCGCATGCTTGTGCCCTTCAAAGCTCAGGAAACCCAGCGGCTGCAGCGGAATGACTTTAGCAGCACAGAAAGAGAACTGCAGGCGCTGCTGTACAGCTTGAACTGGTTGCGAGAGCAGGCACCGAACCTGTTGTACGGCCGGACAGTGCAATACCAGACGGACAGCCAACCGGCGGAATTCTGCATGGTTGGGATGAAAGGCAACGCCGCTTGCCTGCCCATAGTGGCGGAGATCCATCGCCTCTGCGCGGATACGGACACAGACATTTCAGTGGTGTGGTACCCACGCAGCCGGGAACAGCAGCAGCAGGCAGACACGCTCAGCAAATACGAAGATGGATCACAGTGGCGAAGTATAAGCACTGGATGGGACTGCCCTTTTCGGGAGCCGCAGCCGTCATGTGGCCAACACATGCTAAGGTTTTCATTCCTTGTTTAGCATATAGTAAGGTAATGCAGTTTCGTTTATGTTGCTGGGCTTTGGAGGCAAACAGAGCATGAAGTACTTTTATGTATATGTTACATTCTGGACAACATTGAAGTCCAAGGGGGGGAGTTGTAAAAGTTTATCATTGTGATAGAGGATTGGTGGTTGTGATGTCGCAGGCTCAATTCCCACTCAGCACATTATGATGACACTTCAAATCCATGGGATGAACCTTGCTGTCATTGAATCCAAGCCAAAACAGAGTACAACTTGTACAGTACAAGACATGTGCCAGAGCATATCTGAAGTGGGCTCCAGGAAAGAAGGGATGGTAGACAACGCCAAAATCACATGCTCAAAGTCGGTTTCAGAACAGACAGGCAATACATATAGGGATTCAAAAACTCTACACATCTCTAGATAGGGGCTGCATACACATATATAACATAACACAATTCTGAAGATAATTAGCTGTCCTCGACACTTTCATCCCTTATTGCATGTTGGGCGATATTCATGGCCATTATTATTGTTACATTATGCCATAGGTTCATCCTTAGGGCAAAGGCTCTACTCGGTCGCCGTAGCTCATATGTTATGAGCGGAGGCCTATCCCGAGTTCGATCGCCGTAGCTCATATGTTATGAGCGGAGGCCTATCCGGAGTTCGCTGTCCGGTTGTCCGGTTGTCTGTCCGGAGCGTTTTGGAAATTCCGGGTCGGGAGCGTGCCGTACGCGCTTAAGACCGCGCCAAAAAGAATGGGAGGTCGCCGGTTCGATCCCGAGCAAAGTAATGTTTTATGTTTCATATTTGCGTTTTTGCATATATGCATATGTGCGATATTATGTAATGTAATATGCGATATGCAGCGATATGCGATATGCAATGATATGCGATATGTATGCAACGATGTGTGTGCTATGCGATATGCAGCGTTGTGCGATATGTATGTGTATGCAGCGATATGCCATATGTATGCAGCGATATGCGATATGTATGCAGCGATATGCGATATGTATGTGTATGCAGCAATATGCGTTATGTATGCAGCGATATGCAATATGCAGCGATATGTGATATGCAGCGATATGCGATCATGCAGCGATATGTGATATGCTGTGATATGCGATATGCGATATGCGATATGTGGTATGCAATATGCATTATGCATTATGCAAGGTGCAATATGTTTTAATGTTATATATATGCGATATCATATGCAAGCTTATGAGACCTGCAAGCATATGCGATCTCATATGCAAGCATATGCGATCTGCAAGCATATGTGATCTCATATGCAAGCATTTGCGATCTACAAGCATATGCGATCTGCAAGCATATGCGATCTGCAAGCATATGCTATGCTATGCTATGCTATGCTATGCTGTGCTATGCTATGCTATGCTATGCTATGCTATGCTATGCTATGCTATGCTATGCTATGCTATGCTATGCTATGCTATGCTATGCTATGCTATGCTATGCTATCTGCAAGCATATGCAGTATGCAAGCATATGTGATCTGCAAGCATATGCGATGTGCAAGCATATGCAATCTGCAAGCATATGCGCTCTGCAAGCATATGGGATATGCAAGCGTATGCGATCTGCAAGCATGTGCGATGTGCAAGCATATGCGATGTGCAAGCATATGTGCTCTGCAAGCATATGTGATCCGCAAGCATATGCGATCTGCAAGCATATGCGATGTGCAAGCATATGCGTTCAGTAACAAAAACAAGAAAGCATGAAAACATGGAAACGTGAAAACCATCGCAGGACTCGAACCTGCTGTCCAGCAAGTGCTATGCTATGCTATGCAATGCTGCGCTATGCTATGGTATGCTATGCTATGCTGCGCTATGCTATGCTATGCTGCGCTATGCA